CTAATTTGACGGGCTATGATAATTTATCATAGTATGATAATAGAATATTCTCTCATATCCTTAATTGTGGTGACATCTATTTTCTAGATGGTGGTGTATGATACTCCTATGCACTAGGAGCGGTCTTAGGTTAGTTGGAGTTCACAGTATTTTTTTAGGGTTGGAATACATAATGTTAATTATTACGAGAACCCAACAAGCTCTCCAAAACCTTTTTTATAAATGACGCTTTATTAACTCAAGGTGACCTCTTTAAAAAAGGGGAATCGTTTTTCTCTCGTGCGAGGGAAAGACTGAGACGACTCTCGACTAGGGTTTTCACAACCTCTCGCCGATCCACCTCGTCTCCGACCATGGAGGCACAGTGGATCCCGACCCTTGTCGGCGAGAGGTGGAAGTGGCTTCCAGAAAATGGAATAAGGTTCTTCCTGCCTAGCCACGTCCCGGCGCTGCTTCTAGCGCCGTCAAAGGGTATGTGGAGGTGTATCTCGTGGGATTCGATCGGCTTTTGTCTTTGGTGGATCCGGTCTTCGTTCGTCTACGTCCGTGTGTCTGTAGCTTGGATCCTTCTGATCTAAGTTTCTCTTTTTTAGTAGTGGTTGTTGTTCTAGTGCATTAGTCGTATGGAGTCTTAGCACAACGACTTCTTGACTGTCCACTACAACAAGGTTTGCCCGACTCCAATGAGGGAGGGGTGATGACGGCGGCATGCCGTCGTTTCGCTCCAGTGCTTGTAGTCGTCACCAGGTGGTCAATAGATGTGGATGTAATTTTTACTTTTCATGTTCTTTGTACTACCTTGACAGTTGATGAATAGATTGGAGGTTTTCTAATAAAAATATAATCAAATATCGCATCTCCAAAAAATCTCTTGATTTGCTATTTTAGGAAAATGAAGCACGTCTAACTTTGAATCCTCCAGTTTTTTATACCTTCGGCCTCAACATATGGTTTTGTCTAACTTGGTTTCATGTCGTAGGAATTACATGAACTCGCAAATCAGCATATAAGAAAACAACACTAGGGCCCGCATGTCTTCACCTAATTTTTACGCGTACCACATGAGTCATAGTCTCACTGTAAATCGCAAACTACTCCAACGACAACAGAGTATAGGAGGTTGCTTACCGTGTACCAACAGAACTCATAGTCTTTGTTGTGTTCTCTTCGCCGAAGAGGCGTGATAAGCCAAAATCTGTAATTTTTGAGAGCATATTCTTATCTAGCAATATATTGTCTGGTTTCAAGTCCAAATGTTGGATCCGCAGTTCGTCATGAAGATATTTTAAGCCCTCGCATATCCCTTTTATTATTTTGTAACGTGTGCGCCAATTAAGTCCCGTGGATTCGCTGTCTGTATCAACGCGAATGCAAAGAACATGCTCAGAATTTAATATAAAGAAGATTATTTTTCTGGGCTAAATGAAATACAACTGCTGGAGAGAGCACCAACTTAATTACCAGGAATATGCTTCCCAAGGCTGCCATTGTGTACATATTCCAAGCAGAGCACAGTATGCATCCTTTGTGCCCCAACTTGTTTTCCTTCGAACTCTGTAGTTTCGATTTCTGATTCATTGCAGAAGCCCACTAATTTCACAACATTTTGATGCTTGAGCCTCCTTAGGTTCTCGAACTCTTTCTGAAATTTGCTGTTATCAAATCCTTGCACGTGAAATACCTTCACAGCAACGCATTCCTTGTCAAGCATACCCTGTTCAACATCTCTTGTTAATACTGAAGTTTGTTTGCGCAGAGTCGTCAAATATTGCACATGAGTTATAGTATTAGTACTACCAACAACCTGATTTAGTTGTCATTTAGGTCGACTGCAGGATCTACTCATGTATGTGTTGACCATCTGAAGCAATTTTTCTTTAATAAAATGTTACCAACAAATAACAAGGCTGTACTTTTTGGGAAAAAATAGATCTCGCATGTTATAGAAGAGTATCTATCGCAGATATAGGCACCAAATACATGATTTGTCAAATTCTACATCTTACACGGATTGTAGATTCAAGCTACCCAAACATGGTTTAAGCCGCACATACCTGGTAAACTACTCCAAATCCTCCACGGCCTAGTATTAGTTCATCATCGAAGTCCTTTGTAATCTTTTTTATCTGTTCGTACGATAGCTTCCTTGGTTCATCGCTTCCACTGTGCGACTTGTTCGCCATGATATAGACTGCGCGCGAATCCTGATGATGAAGATATGTAATAAGTAAAGAGATACTGCAATCGCAGTTTTCCAGAAACTTCCGGAGGTATTGCAGAATCAGAACTGAAAAGGAGCTGTTGGTTACCTGGAGAGCAGGAGCAGATCGGCAAGGGCGAGCGATGTATGAAGGCGAGGCGCCGGAGTGAAATGGGATAAGAATGAGCAGCTTGGCCCCTTTGACAGGGGAGAAGAATGGAGAGCCAAGATCTGAAATTGAGTAGTAGTACTATATATCACTAGATTAATATGTATGATTTATTTAAGAAGCTTAATTAGTCTCACGACAGCCAAGACGGATCAATTTTATTTTAAGTTTACTCGAGGATCTCTATGCATGTGAAAAAAATTGTAAGTTGGTTGTGTCTACTGTAAGGGATCTCAACGTGGACCCTCAAATTATCCGCAACCGTCCGCACCGCGTCAGTCCAGACGTGTTTTGCAATCCAATGCGGGCATGAATCGATCCGCCAACAGATTTGAATGTGTTTTTTTCCCACAAACCGAAAATAAACTAGGGATTGCGGCGTCCGAACCGATGTCACGCTCGCGTCTAGCAACCGTGGCCCACTTAAAACCCCTCTACCAAGGCCCGCACGCTTTCCCGCCCGAATCCAACTGCCTGCATTCATGCCGGTTCATAGCGGACAAGACCTCCCACTGAAGCTGGCATTGAAGTGGCACACCAGCCGAGAACGCCGCCCGCTATCGCCCGTTGTGCATGCTTTCTCTTCAAATCGAAACAACATTCGTGCGCCCGCCTACCTCCATTAAACCGGCGTGTGTGCCGAGGAAGCTACTCCAACGCCCCAAGCACGTGCGTCTGTTCTTGTGCCAGACGATATTAAACACCTCTCCGACTAGCTCCTCGTATCCACCTGCTATAAAAACATGGCCAGACGCTGGACAAGAACCACATTTCAGCTCCACTCTCCATCTCCTCCTTGTACAACACCCGCCATGGCCTCAGGTGAGCAGAAGGAGTATTCCAGCATTGAAGCGACCTAGGTTGCCCAGCGAGCCAACCTAATATAGGTTGGCTTGCCAGCAAACCATCCGGATCCAACGCCACCGACATCTTCAGCCGCTCCTCACCCGTCCAAGTTGACAAACGTCGTCTCCCGGCAAATTCACCACGAGCAATGGCGGCAATGCGTTAGGCAGGTGGGGAAAGAAGCCATGTCTATGGAGAACGACACGTCCGCGTCCACCACGGACAGCGAGGAAAAGTTTATCATGGGAGGCCACCGTCACTTGGGTCCCATGAAGGCCACCGCCACCGTGTTGCCGGGTTGCATAGCCGGTTACTTGCCCTCTTCGCGTGGGCGTAGGCCACGGCGACCGTCTTCCCCCACCGAAAAATCCACTCTGGTTCATGCTTCGCGACGGCGGAGGAGGTTATTCTTACCCTCTCACTAAAGCATATCCCTCGTGGGCTCACAGCAGTCCGATGAGCGGGCTGCCGGATATAGGAAAGACATATCGTGGGACTGGAGACCCTCCGCGGCCAGCATTAGACTAGTTTTAGCCTAGTCTAGTATAGTTTAGATAAAACATTGCCGAAATGTAAATGTTTTCATCCGGTTTGTATGAAAATCACCTAGTTTGTACGTAATCCGCCTGGTTAATTGAAATCTGGCTTCAAATGTATGTGACTAGCTTTGAATGGCCGGCTTCCGCATCCATGCCTGCGGACTGATACTCTGTCCATGGACGAATGCGGTCTGATTTGCGGATCAGCTTTACAGATGCCTAAGGCTACATTAAAATGAAAAATTGTACTATTGTACTACCGTAAGGGCATCTCTAACGGCGGCCCGCAAATTTCCACCCACATCCTTTTGCGGACAGGGTGGACCATTCCGCAGACACAGATGCATGAGGCCGCCATCCAAAGCTATCTGCATACATTTGAACAGTTTTTCGAACAAACCGGCACTACAAAAATATACACTTCAGTGATGATACGTGTTTGTCATAATATGTCACCTTTTCTGTCATGTATGTACATCCATAACGATTTTATGACAGAACAAAGATAGTCATACCTGTGCTGTTGTAGAAGTGTTCCATGACAATACCAAAATTATCATCACGGAAGTGTTCACTTCCATGACGATAAATGACGCGTCATGGAAGTGCTTTCGTCAAGGGTAACCGACACGTGGCATCCACCATAACGGGTCGCCGTTAAGCTATCGGGTCCGGTTTTGAATCCGATAACCCGTTTAACAGCCCAGACCAATGGGAATTTTCCACGTGTAAAATTCTCATTAGCCCAAGGAAACATGTGTCAGCTCGTCATTGGGTTAGATAGGCACATATGATATGTTGACACGTGTGACGACCCACCACTAGCCCATTTAGTCTACAAAGGCCGACCCGTTTGACTTGGTCAAAAGTTAGCGGGCCGGCCCATGAAAAGCCTGTTAACGGTCTATTCGCAAATAGCCCATTTTACGACTCGGTAACTCACGGCCCAACAACGTCATGTGGGCCGTCGAATATAACACCAGCCCGTTTCACTTTCGGCCCATGTATGGCCCACGACGTCTTTCGGCCCATATGAGGCCTTCATATCTTTAGGCCCTTTAGTGGCCCACGATGACTCTAGCCCATAATGAACAGTAATTTCTTTGTACCCATTAACGGCCCATAATTCACATGGGCCGTTTCCAGCCCGTGTTAGCTTTCGTCCTACTGACGACCCATACGTTCTTGGGCTCCTTTCCGATGCTTGGTTACTTCTGGCCCGTTACTGGTCTGTTCCCCTAATGGGCCAAATTTGGCCCATGGCTAGAATCAGCCCGTTTGTGGCATGTTAACCCATTGTGCCATTTCTAGCTCATCCTATATTCTGGCCCATTAACAACACGTTATGCCTGTGACAGAATTAAGCCTTTGCTGTCTTCTGGCCTGTTAACGCCCCGTTACCGTGATGGCCCGATACCAATTACGCCCGTTTACGGCCCATGTGGACCCATTTATCCGACGGCCCGAGGACACCTATTCTACGACCCGTTCACTACCAGGGAAAAGCCTAGCAGCAGCGCGGATTTTAGGCCTATCCGTAGCGTGGGCAGGAGCACTACTGATAAGGCGCTACAGCTAATGCTTAGCAATAGCGCGCCTAGATCCACGCTACTGCTAAATTGACTTAGTAGTAGCACTTCTTCAGAACAACGCTACTGGTAATTAGTAGTAGTGCTTCTCCTTTCCCGCGCTACTACTATTATTTAGTATTTTTATTTCTTTTTTATTTCATGTTGTATTCATACAACTTTACACAAGTTTTCATACAACAGGAATTTGGAGATTGTTTTTATATCATAATGAGTTATTACATCACGGGGTGAAAGAACCGTGGACTAGTTTCAAGTGGATGTCCATCCACTTGAAACTAATCCGCGGTTCTTTCACCCAATGATATAATAATATCATCATCATCATCATATCATTAACAACTTATCATCATAATACATCATTGTCCTATAACACCTCCTCAAGATCATCGTTTTCATCAATGACATCACATAGCAAATTGGTCACTAGTCGTAATCACAAGTACTCCTCATTATCAACTCTAACACATTACCACATAATAAACATATTGTACCTCATAGGACCTATTACATTCAATTAAGACCTACTACATTTTCTAAGGTAAAATAGCAAAAAACAAGATAGCCCCTGACTCTCCATTATGGAGAATGGAGATTAGTCTGTCTCCAATTTTTGCCTTTCGCTGAATGTTACTTCCAAGAACCTCCTTGCGAATGTCCATACATTTCTTCCATTCTTTGATGAACATGTGTTCACGGGTTTTATAAATCCGATATGCACAGGTGAGCTCCCTAGATTTACCTGGCAGTATGTTCAGAACTGAGAGGCGACCATGCAGAGACATCAGATCAAGGCACACAATCCATCGAGAGTTTCTGTTGAAAAACATAATAATAACTTCGTAGTTAGCAATGATGTACTAGTTTTAGAAGTATGCAAAAGATGCACGGATGTCGTAATAGTAAAAAATCTTACCAAGGTATCTCCAGAGAAGTTACCGTGGTTCAACACATGCACTAGTGGCACGTATTCACCATAATTTGGAGGAGTTCGATAATAGTTATTGTAATTCTCAAGAAGAGTACAAAATGCAATCAGATGATTTTTCTCCTTATACGTTAATTCGGTGCCATCGATGTAGTGGGTTTTATCTACCATCTTCCGCACAGTCTTTGAAGAATCAAAATAAGCTGTCAATGGAAATAAGCTATCAACTATTTTGAAATAAACAATATAAATTAGTTAATAACTATGTTTGAGAAACTCACATAGCGGTACAATCGGAAGCGTATCAACAAGGACCCAAATGTCCATATTGTCTTGCTCGATGTCAGGATCACCAAGATCCATGGTGACAATCATACCCTCATAAAAATCATACATTTTGCAAAGTGCTTCCCAATTTAGGCAACCAAAATGGGTTACGCTCTGAGCATTGCACAGATTTACTTCAAAATCCATATCATGATGGGTCCTTAGGTGTATTTTCTTTGTTTCGAAATTTTCATGGTCTTCAAAACCCATCCTCTCCAAGACATAGCGTCTTGCATGGCATGGGATAAGCTAGTCGAATTGTAAAATATGAAAATTAGACATTGAAATAGTTGAAGTCATGCTTAATTACGAAAAAAACGCTTGTTGTTGTTGCGTACCGTTTCACAATCGAAGGTCTCCTCGAGCTTAATGCTGAAGCGCCGATCTTCGTCCAGCTCAAGAACCTGTCGCACATACCTCGATCGTCGTGGCACCAGCTACACTCCCCCGGGAGACTGTCGTCGTCCGAGTACGACATTTCCTACGTTCATAATTCAAAGATTAAACTTGTACATATTCTAGCACAAGTCATGCCAGAATTCACGAAAAAATCCGGCATGGCCTTTGCTAAAAAAGTACATATCG